GTAAACAAGAACACTCACACTAACCACCGGCCTCGCAGTAAACAAGAACACTCACACTAACCACCGGCCTCGCAGTAAACAAGAACACTGACACTAACCACCGGCCTCGCAGTAAACAAGAACACTCACACTAACCACCGGCCTCGCAGTAAACAAGAACACTCACACTAACCACCGGCCTCGCAGTAAACAAGAACACTGACACTAACCACCGGCCTCGCAGTAAACAAGAACACTCACACTAACCACCGGCCTCGCAGTAAACAAGAACACTCACACTAACCACCGGCCTCGCAGTAAACAAGAACACTCACACTAACCACCGGCCTCGCAGTAAACAAGAACACTCACACTAACCACCGGCCTCGCAGTAAACAAGAACACTCACACTAACCACGGGCCTCGCAGTAAACAAGAACACTCACACTAACCACCGGCCTCGCAGTAAACAGGAACACTCACACTAACCACGGGCCTCGCAGTAAACAAGAACACTCACACTAACCACCGGCCTCGCAGTAAACAAGAACACTCACACTAACCACCGGCCTCGCAGTAAACAAGAACACTCACACTAACCACCGGCCTCGCAGTAAACAAGAACACTCACACTAACCACGGGCCTCGCAGTAAACAGGAACACTCACACTAACCACCGGCCTCGCAGTAAACAAGAACACTCACACTAACCACCGGCCTCGCAGTAAACAAGAACACTCACACTAACCACGGGCCTCGCAGTAAACAGGAACACTCACACTAACCACCGGCCTCGCAGTAAACAAGAACACTGACACTAACCACCGGCCTCGCAGTAAACAGGAACACTCACACTAACCAGCGGCCTCGCAGTAAACAAGAACACTGACACTAACCAGCGGCCTCGCAGTAAACAAGAACACTGACACTAACCACCGGCCTCGCAGTAAACAAGAACACTCACACTAACCACCGGCCTCGCAGTAAACAAGAACACTGACACTAACCAGCGGCCTCGCAGTAAACAGGAACACTCACACTAACCACCGGCCTCGCAGTAAACAAGAACACTGACACTAACCACCGGCCTCGCAGTAAACAAGAACACTGACACTAACCACCGGCCTCGCAGTAAACAAGAACACTCACACTAACCAGCGGCCTCGCAGTAAACAAGAACACTGACACTAACCAGCGGCCTCGCAGTAAACAGGAACACTCACACTAACCACCGGCCTCGCAGTAAACAAGAACACTGACACTAACCACCGGCCTCGCAGTAAACAAGAACACTGACACTAACCACCGGCCTCGCAGTAAACAAGAACACTCACACTAACCAGCGGCCTCGCAGTAAACAGGAACACTCACACTAACCACCGGCCTCGCAGTAAACAAGAACACTGACACTAACCACCGGCCTCGCAGTAAACAAGAACACTCACACTAACCAGCGGCCTCGCAGTAAACAGGCTGTTTACTGCGTACTGTTTACTTTACTGTTTACTGTACTGTAAACAGTACTGTTTAATTTACACACCTGGTACTCACAGCACATCTGGTACTGGCAGCACACCAGGTACTCACAACACACCAGGTACTCACAGTACTCCAGGTACTCACAACACTCCAGGTACTCACAGAACTCCAGGTACTCACAACACACCAGGTACTCACAACACACCAGGTACTCACAACACACCAGGTACTCACAACACACCAGGTACTCACAGTACTCCAGGTACTCACAACACACCAGGTACTCACAGTACTCCAGGTACTCACAGTACTCCAGGTACTCACAGTACTCCAGGTACTCACAGTACTCCAGGTACTCACAACACACCAGGTACTCACAACACACCAGGTACTCACAGTACTCCAGGTACTCACAGTTCTCCAGGTACTCACAACACACCAGGTACTCACAACACACCTGGTACTCACAACACACCTGGTACTGGCAGCACACCAGGTACTCGCAACACACCAGGTACTCACAACACACCAGGTACTCACAACACACCAGGTACTCACAACACACCAGGTACTCACAGTACTCCAGGTACTCACAACACACTAGGTACTCACAACACACCAGGTACTCACAACACACCAGGTACTCACAGTACTCCAGGTACTCACAGTACTCCAGGTACTCACAGTACTCCAGGTACTCACAGTACTCCAGGTACTCACAACACACCAGGTACTCACAACACACCAGGTACTCACAGTACTCCAGGTACTCACAGTACACCAGGTATTCACAGTACTCCAGGTACTCACAGTACTCCAGGTACTCACAGTACTCCAGGTACTCACAGTACTCCAGGTACTCACAGTACTCCAGGTACTCACAGTACTCCAGGTACTCACAGTACTCCAGGTACTCACAGTACTCCAGGTACTCACAACACACCAGGTACTCACAGTACACCAGGTACTCACAACACACCAGGTACTCACAGTACACCAGGTACTCACAACACACTAGGTACTCACAACACACCAGGTACTC